AGAGAGAGAGAGAGAGAGAGAAGAGCAGTATGTGTGTATGTCGAGAGAGAGAGAGCAGTATTTTTGTGTATGTCTTGAGCAATACTTTGTTCACTTGTCCTTGAAGTGTAATACTATGTTCACATGGCCTGTTCCTATCACTTTCTGTTTACTTATTTTTCGATGAACTTTCTTCTTGTCTATTATCAGAAGGCGCAGATTAACCTAAGAGATGGTACGGCAGCAACCCCAATCCCCACAAAAGACATAGCAAAGGAACGCTCAGCTCTTGTCCCTGAGCAGCCAAGCCCTGTATCTGTCCTCTATGCCTCATTTTACCGGGACGAACTTTCCCCTTCTCCTGTGAAGAAGATCCCCACTTCATTCAAAGGTAAAAAGCCTGACATCCCTCATTAATCACAACCAGCTTGAAAACTTCTTGACTTGGGCTCGGGCTTGCCCGGGTCACTCAGACCTGCCAGGTTGCCGCGTCCGGTTCAAAGGTTCACGATTCAAAAACCCAGAGACTTCCGAATCACACTGAGTCATAAACCCTTGTGTTTTTTCCCTAGAGACTCACTCCGGTCTTGGTGAAACTTGGCCTAGTCAAACTACTGACTCGGGATCAGGTGCCTGGCAAGTCCGAGTTTTAAATCATAGACGACAACTATCAATAATATAAAAGAATATGAGTTCACTTCATTCAAAGGGTGAAAGCATGATACCTCCTACCAGTTACCAATCACAACTATCAGTAACTTGAAAGATTACAAGTTAATATGAGTTCACTTCATTCAAAGGGTGAAAGCATGATACCTCTTACCAGTTACCAATCACAACTATCAGTAACTTGAAAGATTACAAGTTCTTTGGTAGAGCCTGCAGCTTTATCTGAATTCACTAATTGTCCCAACCTTCAGGTTGTGGGCTTGAACCAGGCTTGCCTATAAAAGAGTTTGTCCAATGGAATATGGTTTATTTTAATTAAGGTTACATACACCATCGATTTCCACTGATGTCTGGTTGGAGATTTAACTGTAGTGGAGCCACAGGAAAATTCACTTGGTTAATCAGTGGGAGTCATTGGCCGATGTTGCTTGGAGTACTATATTATATATACCATAGGCCTCTGGATTATTGTATGAATTCCCTAAAATCGAGCAAAAAACAAATTTTTTTTTTTTTTTTGGAGCCAAGACTTAGGCAACAATAGTATCCTGGTTTTGGGGGCCGTTAGTGTTTTAACAACCATGGGCTATCACGGCAAAAATAAAACCTTGGTTGGATCCCCCAACCACAAAGTATTTCATGACAAGCACATTCCAAATGTGGCACCCAGTGTTTACAAAATTGAATCGGAACGGTTAATTGGGGCCCGAAAGTGGTAAACCAACTTATTCAACCGTTCTAACCGAAAAAGTCCAAAACAGTCAAAAAAGTGTTGAAAAAAATATAAAAAGATACAAAAAGAAAATCTATTAAAATATGAAAAAGCATATAAAGAATGATTAAGATAAAACACATTCAAATAAAGTTGAAAATTAATGAAAAAAATGGATTTTAACAATTCGATTTGTACCTAGGGTATTTTCAAAATTTTCCAAGAAATATGGGAAAATATAAAAATGAGTATTAATGACCAAAACAACTTTTAATCTTTACAATAGTGTAAAGAATATTAAAAATGCATTACAAATCAAATTCTTTATTTTGGAAATTTATATATATATTTTTGAATATTTTTATTCTAAAATACCGGATCACTAAAACCACCCAAAATCAGAATCGATTTAACTGAGTGGTTAGCAGTTAGATCATCCGGCTTTCTCCAAACAGTGCTTGAATTCCATAACAAAAGTAAAATAGGAAATAATAACTTTTTCTTTTTCTTTTGCCATTATTTTTTATTTAAATGTTTTTCCTTTCTTGCCCATAGGTGACATGATCCAAAACCCAACCGCCAACCTTTGCACCGAGGACACATGGGACCCGCTAGCCCTTAGTAATCCGGGCACCAAGCTAGCCAGTGTCAAGAGCCTAGTCCACAAGCTTGAGAGGCTCAACTCAGCTCACGACGAGGCCACAACTGATCACATTGCGTCACTATGCGAGCACACCAACCCTGATTGCCGCTATGTATCTGAGATCCTTTTGGCCTCTGGCTATCTCCTTGAGGGCCTCAGCAACAGGCCTAGCCTGCCCCATGGCTCAAACCCATTGAGCCCCGACTTGTTCCTAGTACTCGAGCAAACCAAGCCAGCGGCTCAACGCACCAAACTGGAGATGGCCCACCGAAGGTTGATATTTGATATGGTGAATGAGATTCTAGCAAACATGCTCACTGACCTCGCCAGTGGCTCTTGGCTTGAGCCTCGGATCCAGACTGTTGGACCCATAGGGGCCCAAAGTCCAGGTTTTGGTGCAATGGAGGGGACTTCTAGAGACAAGCTTGTATACCTAGGCCTGGGCTCACAGATCAAGCCTTGGACTCGATGGGATGGGCCTAAAGAGAGTCCTAGTATGCTTCTTCATACATTGGATGAGATTCATGGAAGACCCAGGATCTCAAGGACCAAGCCGTGGGTTCGAGCCAATGGGCTAAAAGGGGGCCATCAGTTGGTACTGGTGGTGTGCGAGGAGCTTGAGAGGCTAGCTCGAGTTGCGTCGGGTTATGAAGATTTTGATGAGTTTTTGGACTCGATGGTCCGCGAGGAGATATCAAGAAGGCCGCCTAACAGTCAAAGTGAGCGCGATGGTGTGGTTTTGGATTTGGAGAGGATGATATTTAAGGAGTTGGTTGATGAGATGGTGAGTAGTGAGGCGAGGAGTTGTAGAGTCGGGTCCATTGGGGCCCGGAGGCGACAGCTATTTTCGGGTTAGGGAGGATTGTGAGATCTAAGAAGAAAAAAAAAAACAATTAATTGGTGTTTTATTTTGTTTGATGTTATTTTTATGGGAGATGAGCCCAAGTGGGTTTGAGCTGTGTGGGATCGAAAGTGGGTTTTTTGCTCTCTTTTTCATCTGCCTTTTATTCTTTTACGAGTTCTATTCACAGCTTGTAACTATATAAGAAGTCTCATTTGAGGTTCTCGTTAACCATTAGAGTCTTACTGGGATTTCCCCTATATTTTATCCATGAATTTCAGCGAAGCATAACATTAAATCCCTCTCTCTCCACACTGCTTCTCTCTCTCGGAACTGACTGAAACAATAAGGCTCTCACTCTCGGAACTGATTGAAACAGTAAGGCTCTCTCTCTCTCGACCGGGCTCTCTTTCTCTCAGAACTGGCTGAAACATTTGGGTGCACGAAATTATAGGAATAGTGAAGTTTTTTTACATCCATTTTTACTTAGCCCGGAAAAAAAAAAGGAGCTGGGGTCATGGTGGTAACAGCCCACACCCTAGCAACCTGGTTTTCATTCTTATTGACAACCCCCAACACTTAAAAAAAAACTAAAAAAAAAAAAGCCAACTCCTAAACCATTTAAAAAAACGGGTAAGGCCCTGTCTTTCCCCACTGAATTACCTGAAAAAAATATTTTACTTAGCCCAAGAAAGCCAAAGAAGGAACAAGGAAAACAGCAAAATAGAGGTAGAGGAAAGTAAGGGGACAACTTATTGTTTCTCAGAGATAACCAATAGTACTTGACATATGACTTCTTGAGAAATAGAACAAATTCTCAGAGATAACCAACAGTACTTGAAATATGACTTCTTGAGAAATAGAACAAATTTAAGGTGGTCGACCTTTTTCAGCAAGTTCAAATTTGACGAGGAACGATTTGAAATCTGGAGTCGCTAATCCTTGGGAATTATCTGGAGTAAAAAGGACGCTCTTAAACGAAATCTAGTGATCGATAAATCGGCCAAGTTACTTGCCTTCGGCCCCCTTGTGTAGCCTGAGCTGGGTGTCCAACTCGGTGATATTAAATTTTTTTAAAAAAATATATAAAAATTCTAAAAAAAAAAGAACTTATTTAAAATGTGTTTTTTTATGTCTTCTATTGGCAAAATTGGATAATATTTTGGCCATAAATACTTATTTTAACATCTTTCCATCTTTTTTGGATTATTTTGAAAATAACCCCCAGTGACAAGTTAATTTTTTAAAATCTATTTTTTAGTGACTTTTTAACATCATTTTAAAATGTTTTGCTTAATCTTACTTTAAACATACATTTCTTTTTCTTTTCTTTTTTTATAGAAAAAATATGTAATGAGACTATTTACCTTGATACAAGGTGATGACAGTTAAATAATATTTTGCTCATAAATACTTATTTTAACATCTTCCTATCTTTTTTTGGATTTTTTCATAAATACCCCCAATGATAAGTTGATTTTTTAAAATATATTTGTTACCAACTTTTTAACATCATTTTTAAGTGTTTTATTTACTCTTACTTTAAACATACATTTCCTATTTTTTGGATTTTTTTATATTTTTTTTATAGAGAAAGTATATAATGAGACTGTTTACATTTGATACAAGATGGTCACATCTTGACTATTGGATGTCATATTTGGTGGCTGCAGTTACTTTATTGACCAAGCTCAAAGTCTAAAAAAAAAAATTTTCGAACTTTGTGACACACCCAAGCTATCAAATTTTACATCGGATGGTTGTAAGTAAATGTGACCTCCATGTATGAAAGATAAATAATTTAACTGTATACAATCCCTTTTTATATAATGTTTTCACCTTTTTCCTTTTTTTTTTTTGTTTGCTGCTATAAATAAGCAACACTAATCGGACCGAGTTACTATGACACGGCCCGAGTAATCAGCTCGAGCTAGGATTGATTACTTAGTCCGACTCGCACATTCTAACACTGAAGAAATCAATGACTTGGATCGTATAGTCATGAGGTGCGTCTTGGTGGGAGGATACACCTAGGGTTGACCACACCCTCATGGGAGTTACAACCTCTGTATGAGAGGGAGTTGGAGAATGTCTTACCCTCATGGGATTACACCCCAATGAAAGCACTGTCTCCATGCACTCCAATGGCTACCTCATTCATGAGGGGATTAAACCCATATGAATTGGGGCAATGGAGGCCTTCCTCTCACTATAAAAAGGGGAGCAATGTGGATCTCAAGGCATGCGATCCGTAAAAGAGTCAATTTGAGATAGAACCCTAATGCTCTCCACCCTTTTGAGTTGTAAAAAAAAATATGACCCTCCAAGAAAAAAAGATTTGTAAATGAGGATTCGAGCTTGAACTTTGTTCCTTATCTTTGTGAACTTGTTTATCGCTTAGGATGTACAATGGAACCGATTTCAACAGCTCTAATAGATGTCTAACTTACCTACTTGAGTCTACCGTTCTTCTCCAAATTTGTTCGACAAAAATAGCATAACGAAGACAACACCTATTGACTAAAACTGGATTGCTAGCACTTCGGTTTCTGGTTGCTTAAAATTTGTCTCCAATATTGGCGTAAGAGCTATCGTGGAATTGCGTTCTTGATTAGCCCAAGTATTCGCTTCTTCATTTGCCTCTCTACAGCAATGGGATACCTGAACATGGTCCCTAATCAAAATGTCACCAATCTCTGCAAAAGCAAACATCAGACTCGCTCATGCACCTCTTCTGTCATTGCACCATCTCATTACATTCTGTTTATCCCTTTCGGCCTAATTTTCTCCCTGGTAAAGGCGTAATAGTTTAAATGGCAGTTTATTTTATGGTGAGTCGATTTATTGATAGTCCCTGACTAAAATCAGTCTATTTGAATAAGCTGCTATTCAGATATGTTTGTTTGGACCATAGTTAGCAAGTCGAGGATTATCAATAAATTGGCTCACCATAAAATCGAAAACAAATCATTTTTATTTTGAAAAATTGGATGAAACAATAGAGTAAAAAACTACAGATCAACAAAAATACTTCATACAAAGATATCGCTAATGTATCGGATTAGGCTGAAAAAATCGAAGTTAAAAAATTGGATAAATTTCAAATATTAGAAATTTTAAAATTCTAAAAAATAAAAATTATGTCAAAGCCACCAATAATAGCTCATCCATAAAAATTTTACTAGACTAAAATAATTAAGTCAATTAATTTAAATGCCTTGTGACTATCGTTTAATCATCTAATATTAAATACATAATTAACTAGCATATACCAAAAGAAAAAGTACCATATAAATTTACCCATTAAATATTTTAACAAACATCACACCTACCTATTACATACCAAAAACAAAAGGGTGCGGTTTCTATAAGGTTGCAACCTTAAACAATCCAATTAAAGTGCACCGTAAAATTTTATCATAACATATAATTTTGTTGTAAAAAATTCTTAGTATTATCTTGAAATCTATTTTTGTACCTAATTAGAAAATTTTAAATTTCAAAAATGATTAAAATCAAGTAGATCTATAAATATATGAAAATCTTGAAAATAGGCAGTCTAGATAATGTGTTGCAAGATGCACTATTTCCTGGACTCAAAAACTTCTTTTTTTTCATGTTCATACATTTCAATGTCGAGATTGTCGATTAAAAGGTTTTTTCAACATTAAAACACCATTTCCGATAGATTTTTGAGGTGCATATATGAATCTACGCTTTAAGGTTGTAACCTTCTATAAACTTTTCTCAAAACAAATATATTATATAAATTTATTCATTAAATACTTTAACAATGGCTTGGTGAAATATACTTCATAAATTCACTAAAGGGAAAAGTTTATATAAGGTTGCAACTTTTAAATGTAGAAGTACGGATACATCTCAAAAATCCATTGGAAAATATTGTTTTGATATTGAAAAACCCCCTAATTGATCATCTCGACGTCGAGATGCATGACTATGAAAAGAAAAAAGATTTTGAGTACCAGAAATGATGCATCTTACAACATATTACCTAGATCGTTAATTTTTAAGATTTTAAGGTTTATAGATGTAATTGATTTTAATTATTTTTGAAATTTAAAATTTTATAATTAGATATGAAAATAGATTTTGAAATAATATTAAAAATATTTTTAGATCAAAATTGTATGAATGATAAAATTTGGAGATGCACTTTAAATAGATTGTTTTGCGACCTTATGAAAACCGCACCCTTCATTAAATACTTAAAACATCGTACCTATATCGCTCGTACCCAAAAACAGTACACGATTTTTTATTTTCTCGTTGCAATGATTTAACTATAGTATGGGGACTACGGTCACTACATAACTATGGTTAAAGTTTTATAAATTTCTTTGTTTGAAAATAGGCTCCTGTGTTTACGGTTCAGAGAGAGAAGAAGGGCGAAGGAAGACGAGAAAATAGGCGCTGGGCTCATAGCCATTAGGGTTTATAGAGAGAAGGAAGTAGGAAAAGTTCTTCTGCTTTGGTTTATAGGGAGAGAAGAAGGAAGAAGGAAGAGTTGATCGACTTCACAAACCCTAATGCCCAAATAGAAAGGCCCTAACTGATTTTTAGAGAGAGAAAAGGAAGATGGGATGCTGATTTGGGATGGTTTGAAGAGGATTTTTCTCTCTGATTTGAGTTGTTGTTTGAGAGAAAGCCCTAGTTATACTGATTTGTGACGAGGCCCTAACTAATTTTTTGATTTGTGAAGAGGCCCTAACTGATTTTTAGAGAGAGAAAAGGAAAGAGGGTTTTTCATTTTGTTGGGGAAACAGGAAGCAGAGCTGAAAGATTAGGTCTGGCGGATTGCTTGCTCTTGTAAGTTTACAGTTTACACTATATTTTTTAACTTTGTTATCACATAATCAAAAACAAAATATTGATTACTTGGTTCTGTACTCACACTCTCTGCTTCTCATTCATCAGTAAAAGACTATGTTTGAGCTCTAATTTGTGCCATAAACATTATTTTCATAAAAACAATTATCACAAATAATAACAGAAATCCGCATGTTTATGATTTTCTTTACCCAATGATTTACTTTACGAAATGATTTGCTATAAACAGTATTATTTCATTTACACAATGATTTTCCATAATAACAACTTTGTTTAAATTTAAAGAAAAAGGAAAAAAAAAATTCCTACTTTCAATCTGCAACTGTGGCTTTGAAGAACACAGTCGGGATAAACTTTATATTTTAGGTTTTTTTTTTAAATAATATTGTTTTTCAAAAGCATGAAAGTAGCAATGGCTGCAATACAGGGGGAAAAAAATTATAGGTAAAAAAAGATGCGGTTTTTTGGCCTGATTTAAATCGTATTATGAAAAAATCGTGTTTGAAACTGTTTTTATGAAAAGCACGCGATTTATGGACCAGTTCGTTTTTGATGTTTTCTTTCTATGATATGCAGTTTGAAGAAATAACGGCTTTCCTGTATCTTGCTCCACAAACCAGGAAAACCTGTAGAAATTCGAAACTGTCAACCTGAAATATCATTGTTAAAGTGGTGATAATTTCTCTTTTGACCAGTGTACCATACCTTGGATTAGTTGCTTGATTTCTTGGCTGAATTGCTAGGGTATCATAAACACCTTTTTACTGCGTTATTTCAATTTTGTTTCTCAATCATTTGCTATTTGAAACAAAAGCAGGTCAAATACCAACAAAACCAAAAAAGGTTGCTGTAAATTGCAGTGGTGAATCTTGAGAAACCCAATATTTTGCCAGACATTGCAGTGCTGATTACCAAGAATAGCATAAATTTTATCTGAAAATCGTAAGGATAGAAGAAAGCACCATACTCACCTAGTCTTGATTTGAGAGATGATATGATTATTCGAACATGAATGATGGCGGTGGGGAGAGCAGAAGAAACATCGATGAGTGTAAGAGCGAGAGAGGTGGAGAACAAGAGGAGGACGAGTTTGGTCGAGCAGTTACTAGGGTTTCGGTTGCACAAATATGTGAGAGTGCAGGGTATCACACCTTTCAGCGCTCAGCCCTTGAAGCCCTTGCTGACATAGCCCTGAGGTACCTTCGTGACCTAGGTCGATCTGCTCGCTTCCATGCCAATTTAGCAGGAAGAACGGCGTGCAATGTCTTTGATGTTATACAAGCATTGGAGGACTTGGGTTCATCTCAGGGCTTTGCAGGTGCATCAGATGTGAACCACCCACTAGCTGCGTCAGGTGCCCTTAAAGACATAATTCGGTACACCAATATAGCTGAAGAGATCCCCTTTGCTAGGGCGGTACCCCGATTTCCTATCCCAAAAACCCGAAAACCCACCCCTAGTTTTTTGCAACTAGGTGAGACCCCACCTCATAAGCACATTCCTTCGTGGTTACCGGCCTTTCCTGATCCCCATACATACATACACACCCCTGTTTGGAATGAAAGGGGAAGTGATCCTAGGACTGAAAAGTTAGAGCAGGCAAGGCAGAGGAGGAAGGCTGAGAAATCTCTTGTGAGTTTACAGCAACGGTTAGCTTGTAATGGGGCCACAATGGCTTCGATGGATGGGGAACTAAAAGGGAAACGGCCATTAGATGGAAACAACCCATTTCTCGCTCCCCCTCTTCTATCTGGGGAGAAGGAAGCTTCGTTGGTTCCTATGCCTGCTGGTCTTTCTTTGAAATCTCCTGATGAGAACATTGAGAAGAAACCAGGCGGTTTGTCTGTTGTGAATGCCTTTGCTCCTGCTAATGAAGCAGCAAAGGGTGGTGGCCTCATTGACGAGGCGAGGCAACTGAAGCCGAAAAGACCAGTTGTGCAATTCAAATTTGGATTGGATAAGAGAACTGTGAATCCCGCACCGTTGTTGTTTGGTAACAGGTACAATAGGACTGGTGGTAATGCAACGGACATGTCTTGGTTCTCAAGGGATGAGGAGAAAGATGACAAAAAGAAGAGAGCTGAACAGATTCTAAAGGAAGCCATGGAGAACCCACAGGAACTTGTTCAATTGTAATTTATTGGATGGTGTGAAGGAGATATTCATTGTTTGTAGGGTGAGGCTAATACGACCGGGAATTGACTTTTTGACTACCTGCTGTTCGTGCACAATGCTGAATTGGTTGTTGTGAATTGCATTTGCTTGTGAATGTCTCATTGGATGAATTCCATGCTGACACAGGTCTGAGTTTATGGTTGGAGGTTCATGAAAAATTGGTAGGAAATGGTATCAGGTGTTCTTGAGTTGATGCTTGAGGTATTGTAACAATCTGTCTGATACAATGTCCTTGTAACAGTGTCTAGATCGATTCTTTATAAATGCATTTTATTTTCATCTTTTCTTGTGACCAACTTTGAAAAGTTCAACTGATAGTATCAGTAATAATTTATTTCTGTTTTTTTCTCTCGCATGATGGTTTCTTCACTCATGGGTATTCCCAATAAGAATTGATTTAGCCTACTGAGCCATGTTCATGGATGTATTTCTCTTCATAGGAGGAGACGTTCTGGGTAGAGTTATTGACATTTTCTACAAATAACTACATTCAGCTGCAAACACTCTAGAACTTATCACACATTGGTCCTCAAAATCGTTCTTGTGGAGACCTTAGCTCTAAGTTGTTGCCTCTATAGCCATGCTTTCCCCTCAAGAACATCTGTTTTGGAGAACTTTTAAGGAACTAGGTGGTCATTGTCCATATTACAATTTTCTCAGAACTAACTTGCTTACTAGGTAAATTTGAAGAATACTCTACAAAAAGGATACATGTTTCTGGCTGACAAACAAGAAAGAAACAAATACTTGACACTGAATCAGAAGATTCTTAACTTCTAGAATTCCCTGTTCTTTTCTTTTGTCGAGTTTGATTCTAGAAAATAGGAACCACTTGATTTATGATGAATCTCGCCCTGCTCTTATAACTAGGCCCACTGCTGATCCTAAATGGTGTTATGTAAACAATTGCATGTATGGGTAACTGTCGCTGTCTGTGGGTTTTTACTAAATGTCTGTTTTCATGTTAATCGTGCCGGATTTAATTGGTTTAACAGCTTGTTACACCTAAATACAAGATTATGAATTGCATGATAGCCCTAGAAAATGTTTTAGCCTCTGCATCTATATGTTTTCATTCTTTTCTATCTTGTTAGTGTCTGGGCTTGTTATTTGTTTCCTTCAAATCCATGTGACTAGTTTGTAAAACTCTTAGGAATTGTCACATACATGATTACGTACTATCTTAGGTAACAATTTGTGAGGCGTATGCCTACCACATTTGAGTGGTGATCGGGAGTAAATCAGGATGGGCTTATGGTGCAACTGGTGTGTTAGGTCTAAATGTGTTTTAAGAAAGATCTTCATGAACATGCGGGCAATATGCATATATTGGTAATGGTAAAGACATGAATTGAAACTAAACTGAATTGCTTCATTTCCTCTTGAAACAGATTATTTCAATGATGTGGGCATTATACAACGAATCAATGACAAAACAATATTTTCATATAAAAAGCGATGTCATGAGGGGTGTGTGTGTGGGCGTGTGGGCTTGATTGGGTGCATTTGTGGGTGTGGGCACATTTGTGGGTGTCTCATCTTTGCCAATTCAGAAATGAAGGTGTGACCATCATCAGGTGTTCATTGTTTCTTTTTTTTCTTTTTTCAAACTCATCAGCGGTTCATTGATTGAAAAGTGAATCACATCTACAGCATTGATTTACTTCTCCTTTAGCCTCTTTGATAAATGAAAGCGGGTTACTTAACTTCCTTGGAATTAAAGTTGGAAAATCTCTATATTCTCCTCAATCAGGGTGAGGAATTTCTGGTCATTTCAAGAATCTGACTGTATGGCAGAATATTCAAAAAATTGTAGTTGTATATAACATAAAGTTGTCATGTCAATTATGATTAAGTTCTCTATGATGGTGATCTGGGGTATAAGATCTTAGCAACAGTCATTATCAATGTTGAAGGGATACTTCATGATCGACTAGTATGCTAGATATTGAATTTCATATGGAGGATTTAGGGGGAAAGTAAAAGATTTATTTTTTATGGTAGTGAGGTCCATGCCATAGAGCAGAAATAACAATGGATATCAAATGTTTTGGGGATGGATCTGGTCCAAGCTGAAGCTTTTTCAAAATGATAGTTTGCAATGCCGCTTGCCATAAAGGAGAAAATATATTTCTATAAAAAGGGATAAAGAGAAACTCCTAGTAGGCCATTCAGCTTTAGAGCCGATGGCTTGATTCATGGAGAGATGCTGGTTGAATGATGATATGAATATTGCTGTAAAGACGAGAAAGGTCATTTGGCCTATGTTTTTGAAGGGGTTTTCGTGTAGGTCCCTTTGTTGGAGGTGATTCCCTCAATATCATCAATTGGACCCATAGATAGGAGAAGTTGGCAAGTATCAATCATGGAGAAGATTTTTAGAGGGGGAGGGTTTATTTGTATTACTATTAAAGAACAAAAAATAAATGAAGTGTTTATGTGCATTCTCATTTGCAAAGAGAGGTGAAGTGGGGTCTTTTTTTCCGCAGGAGTATGAGGAACTCTTTCTTGATTGTGGTTGTTTCCCCTTCTCATGATTTCTCTGAAGATTCCTTGTCCTATTCATTTTTCTTTTTTTGATGTTATGTTCTTGATGTTTGATGCCCAATTCAGCTTGGTGTGACTGTGTTCAATCTTTCTCCCTAACACACACACGCACACAGCAAAAAGAAAAAAAGGGGGAAAAATAGGGAATTGAGGACCATGGAGGAGATATTGAAGAGGAGGGGATTCTTTAGGAATCTATGGAAGTTACTCAGTAAATTTCATTTCTAGTAATCTCTTCTAGGAAGAAGGAAGGTTGGATGTTGGTTGACACTTTGCTAACTTGGTTGAGGCATGGGATACCATGGTCACAATAGTTGGAAATTTGATCATTTTATCAGTGCAAAATTTGAAGAAATTAGAATTGGATGAACTATTCTTTTTGTCTTTTAGTGAGTGACATTGTTGGTCTATACTGCGTCAATTTTGTTTGATCAATCATTTTTTCATCAAATTGCATGAGCTTTTTTTCCATCAGACATCAAGTTGCACTAGCTGCAAACATTTATGCATATGAGCAAGTGCACTAATTTTTTTTTTTAAAAAAAGAAGGGAAAAGGATGAAAGAGAAAGAAAAGAGATAAAAAGGGATGTGAACAATATAGGAGACACCTATTAACAGGGAGCCACTATACTTGTTCCAAATTCTCTTCCATGATATCAACCAGTGATTCAAAAAAAGGATTGGTGACTTAGATTGGGCACTCCAACAACCGGTCCAAATTGGTAAAATGGCTGTTTGGATCGTCGTTTTACTGTGCGGGAATGAACCGGCCAAAAACCATTCCATATCATTGCTTTATTGTAGAGAATCACTGTTTTAGTGTGCCGAACCCACCGTTTCCCTCCTCGACTCGGCTGTTTTTCGTATATATACGTAGAACCGGAATGGGTGACTGATTCCTGAGTTGGACCAGGTGATTCTGTGCCGACCCGGTGTTTTTTAGATCACTAATACCAACAATCGTTAAGGGGAAAGGCGATTCAGATCTTTGGTATAGGTGGAAGGCATTGAAAGATCAGCCATGAGTAGTTTTCTGTGTATGGGCTAAGGGCCCCATAGAGTGGCAGGCTTGGGTGGCTGGCTTATCGAGAGACTATTTTGAACATTAACCACCTACATACATGAGGTAATGCCCATTGTGTGTTTCAATGTGAGGTGGCAATGGACATTTAGTCATCTGTTAATCTCTTTGGAATTTTGTGGAGCATTTCTTAAAGTGACATTTTTCATGTTTGTGAAGCTGCAGCCTGATATATGGAGTAATTTCAAGGATTTGTAACCTTCTGATATCCAGTCGTACTTTCAGCCAACCATCTCTTCATGGAGTGCCCTGTTGCTTTGAAATATGGAGATGGGCCTCGCATTTGGACTTTCCTTAACATACCCACACATATCCACAATCCATTTCGCACCGCTTGTTTCGACATGACAGTCCCCAAAAATCTCAAACAATGGCGGTATCCTTTGGAAGGCATTGATAGCTGCCACAGCCTGGAACATATGGAGGGAAAGAAATAGAAGAGTCTTTGAGGGGTAAAGTTATGGAAGTATGATCTCTAATTGTTAGTAATTGCTGATGTGGCTGAATGGATTTCCATTCACAAAGATTTCAAGACCATTCTGAAGCAAATATAATTAACAATTTTGGTGAGATCGCTGGCTCACTGAAGGGTGCCTCAAGCGAATTCTCCACAGAAGTTCTTTTTTAGAAATCCTGGGGGTGACTGGTACAGGTGAAGTGATTAGGAACTGTAGAGGCGAAATTTGAAATTCATTTTCGGATCCATGCGGTCTGCAACTGCATAGTAAGCTGTGTAAAGCTCTATTTACAAGGTCTTAAAACTTTTACACCTTTACGAGGGAGAAAATTTGGCCAAAGGGGATAAACAGAATGTAATCAGATGGTGCAATGACAGAACAGGTACATGAGCGAGTCTGACATTTGCTTTTGTAGAGATTAGTGACATATTATTAGGGACCATGTTCAGGTATCCCACTGTTGTTGAGAGGCAAATGGAGAAGCCAATACTTCGGCTAATCAAGAACCCGGTTCCAGGATAGCCCATTGCTGTGGAGAGGCAGGATAGCCCATTGCTGTAGCGAGGCAAATGAAGAAGCTAATACTTCGGCTAATCAAGAACCCAATTCCACGATAGCTCTTACGCCAATATGGAAGAACTGGTCCAACCGTTGTAGTGGAGACAAATTTTAAGCAACCAGAAACCAAGTGCTAGTCAATAGGTGTTGTCTTCGCTATGCTCTTTTCGTCGAACAAATTTGGAGAGGAACGGTAGACTCGAGTAGGTAAGTTGGACATCCACTAGAGCTGTTGAAATCGGCTCCATTGTACATCCTGAGTGAGGCAGAAGTTCGAAAAGATGAGGAGCAAAGTTCAAGCTCGACTCCCTCATGTACAAATCTTTATTTCTTGGAGGGTTAGGCTTCTTTTTACAACTCAAAAGGGGGAGAGCATTAGGATTCTCCCTTAAATTGACTATTTTTCGGATCACACGCCTTAAGATCCACATTGCTCCTCATTTTATGGTGAGAGAAAGGCCTCCATTGCCCCCATTCATATGGGTTTAATCCCCTCATGAATGAGGTAGCCATTAGAGTGCATGGAGAGAGTGCTTTCATTGGGGTGTAATCCCACGAGGGTACGACGCTCTCGAACTCCCTCTCATAAAGAGGTCGTAACTCCCATAGGGGTGTGGTCAACCAGTATGTGTACCCTCCCACTAAGACGCA